TGAGGTCCCAAAGCTGAGCCCCATCTGGTGTTTCTCCCTCCCCCCTCCCTGCACTAAACAGTTTCGGCCAGGAGCCACCAGCTGAGCCAGGCCTCTCTCTGGAAACCCCTCCCAGGAGACTCACAGGGTGACAACCCCGCCCCTGTTTAAGGGCTGATGGGGACCATCTGTGCCTGAACTGAAATCTGGGAATCGGGCAGCAGTGCCCCGGGCCTACAGGGGCCTCCAAGCTGTGAGGAGATTCTGCCAAGTCCTCCGCACCTCCCCTACAGCCCGTGACACTAAAAATAACCAGCGATTCCCCTCCCTTCCCCACCTGCCTGAACCGAGAGCAAGTGCCAAGCCAGGCTGATTTCCTGCAGCCCACCCTGGGAAAGCACAGCCCATGGCTAGAGAGAAAGAAGCTTGTGGCTGCTGATTTCGAAGCTCCCGTACCCAGACAATTCAGGCTGGTGACACCAGAGAGATGAAAAGGAAGGGTGAGGGACAGGAAGCAGGAAAATGCCTCCAGCTCCCTGCTCAGAGAAGAGGCGTCAGCTAACAGTGAGGACATGGAGCAAAGAATAGGGTCCTGCAGGTCCACTGTCACCTTGACCATAAATCGCCACAGGACTCTGGAGCAAAAATAGGACCTAAGCTCCCCCACCCCCCTACCCCACCCCTTTTATTTTTTGGTGAGATAGAACCCAGGACTTTCACACCAAGCTAGAGGCACCCCTTTTTTTTTCTCCGACAGGGTCTTGGTCAGCCCCCCAGAGCACTGGGATTACAGGCTGGTCTAAGGCTTTGATTTTGCAAAATGCCAGAGTCAAAGCTCAGAGAGGGGATGGTATGGTGACATACCATCTTTCATGGCAGAAAGCACCTCCTTCCTCCTCTTCTTCTGTGGCCATTCACTGTCCAGCTCCGTCAGCATGGTTTTATCATCCCTATAGCTCCGTACCTCAGTTTCCCTATTATCAAATACTCTTCTATGTTGGAAGAGAAGGGAAAATGAGAGAACAAGAGAATTGCGTGGAAGATAGTCCTGTCCTTGTGTGACAGCGTCTCCACCCGTGGGTAGCAGGAGCGCCCCTAAAGCCCTCTCCCCTCCTGAAATAAGTGAAACTGCACCCTTTGGGGCACTGAGGCAGTGTGGTGGGGAGGGCAGCTGAGCTCTGTTATCCTCTGGCCTGCATCCTGGATACACAGCTTTAGCCCTGTGACCTCCCGATTCTCTGGGTTGAATACATGTAGGAAAAAGAGCCCCAGCATGCCATGGAGGAGGATAAGGTTAATATCCATGTAACTGCAATACTGCCTTGACCTCCGTGTCAAACCTGCCACCTGTACTGTGCTTCCATCTGAGGATTGTGAAGAGTTCTGCAGTATCCTGGAGACCCAGACTTGGAAGGCCGGTAGACACAGAGAATTGGCGCATCTTCCCTGGGCTTGGGACCTGCCTGGAGACAGGTGCTTGCTCTGGCTCTCTCTGTGGATAAATAGATGGCATTTGTCCGTCCTACAGTGCCTATGCTCCCCTAATAGGAACTCCCTTCCACCTGCTCATGTTCCCATTCCCAAGGTGCCACTCTGCAGTGAAGATTTCCCTAGGATCTGCTAACCCTGTCTGTCTCCTCCTTCTTAAACTCCTCTTGTGATGCAGCTCCTTGGTTTTCCCCCTTGTCTTTTTTTTTTTTTTTTTTTTGGTACTAGGTATCGAACTCTGGACCTTGCGTTTGCAAGGCTGGCAGCAGAACCACTTAGCTAAATCCCCAGCCCCCACCCCCTTGTCTTTTAACAGGACTGGAACCTCTTAAAGAGCAAAAATCATACCTAGTTTAATTTAAAATCTCCTTCATGGTCTGGTACAAGACCAAGTACATGTTTAGTTGGCGGGGGGGGTCTCTATCTGCACGTGGCCATTTTCCTGTCTCTCTCTCACCCTAAACTCTCCTCTTAGAGATTCTTCTACGTAGAGGCGAAATGGAGCTATAGCTCCAAAGACATGTGTATAAAGAAGGACTTGTCTACTTGCTTGAAGACAGACTTGAGGTTTCCTATTTTTATTCCTTTATTTGTTTTTTCATTTCAAGGACAGGGGAATGCCTGCATCTCACAGGCATAAATCATGCTGGAAGGACTCTTGCCAGAGGTTGGCAAAAACCTGAGAGACTCTCTCATATCTTGAGATAGAGCCAACAAATCCTGTGGAGTCATTTTATATCAATAATCAGTGCTGGACACTTTGTGTACATCAATGATTCTAAGAGATTTTGTATTTTTACATATATAAGCCCTCCTTTAGAAACACAGGGTTATTGCGATATAATTCACCCATGTAGAGGGTACAGTACAATGCTGCCTTTGGCTATCCATACCTGGGGAACTGCTAACTGTGTTTCAAAGTGGGAGCCACTGTTACCCCCACTTTGCAGATAATGAAATTGAGACTTAGAGAGATAACAGGCCCCGTGCTAGGGAGTCAGAATCAGGAGGGAAGCCTGCCAGGACCTTGAGTGAGGCATCCCACTGTGACCTGAGGCTCAGGTCATAGCCACTGTGTGTCTGAGGCTGGAGAGACCCAGGGAAGGACTCATTGAGGGACCTTGGGGACAGGAGAGATTGGAGGGGGCTACTCCTCAGTCGGATCCTCTGGAGTGGCCCAGCTCCTGCTCTGCCTTGCCCACTGAGAGCCCTCTCCTTGCAAGAACATCCTGAGCCTCTCCCAAAGCCATCTTTGGAACTCAGCCTATAACTAACCAGGCCCAGGACACCGAATCCTTGCTTTCTGCAAAACCCACCTGTGATGGTGTGAACTTCAGGTGTCAGCTTGACTGGTTTAATGAGTCTAGATAACTGCTAAGCCATTATTGGTGTGCATGTGCATGTGCGTGTGTGTGTGTGTGTGTGTGTGTGTGTGTGTGTGTGAAGTGTCTCCAGAGGAGACTGGCGTGTGTCTAAGTGGGGAAGCTGGACTCTCAGCAAAGGTGGACATGAACATCAGAGCTCCAGGCTTTTGACCTTTGAATTCCAGGACTCATCCCGTTGGTGTCTTTGGATTCTCAGGCCTCTGGACCTGGACTAAGCCACAATACCAGACTCTCAGGGTCTCCAGTTTGCACCTGGAATATCACGGGACTTCTCAGCCTCCATAACTGCATGAGCTAATTCCCCTAAAGATCCCTTTTCATCTCTCCGTCTATCCATTCATCAATTGATCCTATGGGTCCTGGCTCTTGGGAGAACCTTAATACACCACCCTTTCATTTCCAGGGCAACTTTGCTCTGCACTGACCTTGTAAAATCTTCAAAGACCACGCCTCTACGTTCAGATTGCACAGTGACCACTGCAGAGTCTGTGTTCTCTGTCTGCTGGCATCTCCGTGGTGGTAATGCAGAGGGAGAAGCCCAGCAAGGACCAGAGAGTCAGACACCACTGGAAAGGGGATGATGTGCAGCATTAGCTGCAGAGAAAATGGAAGCTGCAGGCAAGGGCCCCGCCTCCCCTGATCTGGAGGGAAACAGCACTTCGGAGGGGCTCCTAAACAGGGCAAGGGGAGAGCTCAGAGCTGGGCTCAAAGTCAGGCTTGGTGCTGTCACTGATGCAGGCCGGGTGCTAGGCTACTGCCTTTAGACACAGCCAAGTGAGCAGCAAGGAGCAGAATGAACGGGACACAAGAACGACACCGGCAAACGCCGGTGAGAGTGGAGATTCTCCCACTCTTGTCAGCGCTGCCCAACTTGACTTCCAAAAGCATAATTCCTGGAGAAACTTCAGCATTAGTGCTCCAGCTGCTTGTGAGAGGTCTGCACTTACTGTATGCAGTCAAAGTTAAGCCCAAGTTCAGAGGGAGCAGGAGCCCCAGGCAGCTTCGTGACCAGATGCTATGGGACCAGGATTAAAGAGCAGCTGCCTAGGGCACGGCTGAGGACGGCTCCACACCAAAAGGGCCACAATCAGTGCCCCAAGTTCTCGGCACCCTCCTGCCCTTCTGAGGTTCAACTGCTGCAAATGCAGCTCACCCCTGGGAAGCACCCAAAGGCAGGGCAGGAGGGTTTGTCGTCAGTAACGTTTTCTTTGGTAACCATGTGAGTCATTTTCCTCCAGTGTTTTCCGTGGCTTCTCAGGATCTCCCTTCCCCACAGCTGCTTCCCTGATGTTCTCCCTCACTGCTCTCCACTGGCCCATTTTGCTTCAGCCACACTGGCCCATTTTGCTTCAGCCACACCGGCCTGTTTGCCCTTGAAGCATCCATCAAGCATGCTCCTGCCACAGGGCCTTTGAACTTGCTTTTTCCTCTCCCCAGATAGCCAAATAACCTGTTCTCTTCCTTTTCGTTTCTGCTCAGCCATCACCTTGATCTCCCTGAGTGCCCCCAAAACAATGCATGCTCGCTCAGACCCACTCTCTTGGGTACTCTCAGCCCTGCTCTGTATCTCAAGATGATTATCACCACCCAATATCTGTATTTGTATATATAAACATGTGTGCATGTGTATGTATCATCCATTTGATCCTGATGGAGCTCAAGTCCTGTGAGAACAGACTGCCTTTTGTTTATTGCTGTGTCTCTCTGCCTTACACGTGCCTGGCCCATAGTAGGCACTCAAAATACTAATGGGATTGAACGATCTCCCCTTAGGCTCTGCAAGATTCCTTCTCCTAAGGTTTGAGCATTTGAGTTCCATGTGGGAACTTAAGCCCCTATGTGATAGTATTAAATGAGGCCTTCTTGAAGGGAAAGAAAAAAAATAGAAAAGAAGGAAAAAATGGAGACAAAGACTTTGTAAATAGGGAGAGGCGGAGGGGTGGAAGGGACTGGGGAGAAAAGAAGAACCAAGATATATCATGTACAGGTACAAATTCCCAATGATGGATATGATCATTATGTATACCTAAAAATGTACCAATAAACTTAGTGAACAAAAATAAATGAGCATTCTTGATATTGTCATGAGGCCAGAGCCCGCAGGAACAGATTAATGCCTTTGTGAAAGGTTTGACAGGGCCAGCTCACCTGCTCTGTCCCTCCTGACGTGAGGATGCAGGGCGAAGGAGCCATCTTGGAAGCAGAGAGCACTGAACTTCAGACACCAAACTCAGCAGCACCTTGCTCTGGGACTCTCCAGTCTGCAGGATGATGAGTTCATTAACCAGTTTGGGCTATTTGATTAAAGCAGCACAAGTGGACTAAGACACCTTCTGAACCAAGCTGGTGACTTCTGTCTTTGCTGCTGCTGTTGTTGTTAATAACGCTGTTTGTGAATTTGTTTTTTAAACCTATAAGAAAGCTGTAGAAGTTGCTCTTCCTTCCTCACATCCTGTGGTGTGATCAAGGGCCTGCAGCACAAGGCTGCACCTCTATCCCTGCCACTCCCCTGTGCAAGTCCAAAGCCCCCCAACCACAAACCTGTTTCCCCCTCATTGTTGCCTCTGAGTGCTGGCTGGTGCTGTCCTCACCAAATATGAATGCCCTTCAGCTTATCTACATCCTACCACATTTCCTACTCCGTATTCCACCTGCTCCCATCTATTCACCAATTTCTCCTTTCTCTGAGTCCTATGTCTCTTCCACACTGTTTAGTACCAAGAGGTTAAAACATGCTAGTTTGTTCTTCCGAGTCAGACTATAGTTCTAGGGTCAGGAAACATACCTTCCACATCTTCTGCGGCCCCCTGCAGATGAATACCGTGCAGGGAGATGGTGCTTCTGCCCTGATCGTTTGTCAGAAAATAAATAAAACCAGAGGGCAGTGTGGAACATTTCTCCTTCTCGCTGAAGTGGCTCCTGCTACCTCCCTGTAGGTGTCTCTTAGATCCCTGGGACAGATAATGAAAAGCACAGCAGAGAGAAAGACTGGGCAAGGATCCTGCTACACAGGTTGTCACTTAGTAAACATCCATGCCGGGTCCAGCACTGCACTCACCAATCTAATCACAAACTGGAATCACAGGTCCCTGAGGTAGAAGAAGCTTGCATAGCAGCTGGCCTGAGCCCTCATATCAATTATGGTGCTCAGTTGCAGGCAACAGAAACTGGCATGGGCTTAATTCAGCCAGGAAAGAGTCAGAGCCAAAGGGCAGGGAGAGGGCCCAAGAACCAGCATTTAGGAGCAAAGCCCAGAAACAGGCCATATAAGATGGCAGGTGAGAAAACAACTGCCATTTTCATGGACCCTGGGCTCTGTGACTGCATATTAGAGAGATGCAGCCCTGGGTGTGACAGTATTCACCTCCAGAGGCCTCACCATTGACTGGTGGCATCTGATTGGGACACCATGGGTCACAGTCTCCACCCTGGCTGCAGAGCAGGGCAGGAAAATGCATATTTCACATTCTTTAGTGAGATGGGATTCTGCTTCTGACCCCCATTCTTTAGAAGGGAAGTTTCCCAAACAGGAGATGGGTTCAATGGCTGTGTCCTTGTCCTCCTCATACCATCGCACACACAGTGGTGGTCCAGACGGATGGAGTAAATGCTTCTGGTCACTTTGTAAGTGACAGAATAAGAATCTAGGCCCCAGGGCCGGGGATTTAGCTCAGTGGTTCCGCTGCCTGCCTCAGAAGTGCAAGGTCCCCAGTTCGATCCCTGGTACCAAAAAAAAAAAAAGAATCTAAGCTCCATGACTCATCCTCTTTCCACTCACTTAGGTGTGAAACAAGCCACTAGTACGAAAGAGGCAAAGTAGGACAATTCACAGAGAGCGAATGATCAATGGTCCTTGTCCCTGGCAGCTATTTTCAAGAAAACTGTGGGATTGATTTGATCACCGCTCTGCTATCCCTCATAGTAGTCTTTGCTCAGACATCACCCGCTCTGGGAGCCCTCCGGAATGCCCACGCTCCCTTGCTCTCTGACTTAGAGCTGTCTCCGTGCTTGTCACTTAGGTTGTAATTATCTAAATGTGTCTGCCTGCTCGCTGGGCTGTGAGCAGCTGAGAGCAGACCCCAGGTCCCGTCAGAGTTGCATCCCGAATGCAGAGGAATGGGAAGGGTGGGTTCTGTGTTCTGAGGTGAGTCTCTGCAGAGAAACCCCACATTTCCTACTCCTGCCTCATCTGTGATTAATTGATACCCAGGGCTCATTGACCTTTGTGCTTTGCTTCTGCCTACAGTCACCTGATCCACCACCCAGGCCCACAGGGGAAGGTCATTCTGCATGGACGTGTGTCAGTCTGTGGTCCTGAAGTTTTCTCAGTCTTTTCCTTAGGTAGAAATGGTATGGCACACAGTGTGTTCAGTTGATACGGACAGTTAAACCAGGATGAGGGAAGGCAGGTGTTGCAGTTGCCACTCAACAGATGAGGTCTTCAGAGGTTCCGAGGCCTAAGTCTCAAGGCAAGTTGGTGGCAGAGTCTGCTCCCCATCCAGTGCTCCTTCTGTGATCATCAAGGAGCCCTGACCCACGGGTCCTCCTGCATGCAAGTCCATTGGCAGTGTTCCCAGGGCACATCCACACGGCCTCTCCTCACACCTCCTGGGCTAATACTACACCTGTCACTCATCTGTTCTATCCAGGGGACCTAGGATCACCTTCTCCAAGCATCTCTCAAAGCATCCCAGCCATGTATCACAAGTCTTAATTTGCAGATGCTGGCACTTGAGGTGGCCTCGAGTCACAAAGGCACAGGCAAAGTCTCTTCCTAAAAGCAAATGACGGAGTTAGCAAAGCAGGTGCACCAAGTGGGGAGGCAGGGGGTTGAGCTGGGCAGCCCCTGGTGGGACGGAAAGTGCAGGCAGGTGCCTGATGGCAGGAACCAGACTCTTGGCATCCAGACACCTTAAAAACAACAGGAACAGGCCTGCAGAGGAGCTGACTCAGCAAGACAAATGTCACAGGAATGAGCTCAGAGCTCCCTGGAGGGACATGTGGCCTTCCCCTTACCTTGGAAGGAAAAGACTTTGATGTCTGAAAGCCTAGTCAAGTTCACTGTGGCACTCTCTAGTCCTCAGGTTCACCCAGTCTCTGCAGTAGTCCACATGTGGCACATCCATTGCCACCTCTGGGCTTCAGCCTGGTTGTTGCCCTGTTTGAAGACTCCTTCTTGGTGTCCATCCTTCTGAATTTTCGTATCCTTTAAAACCACACACAGGTGCTATCTCCTCCAGGGAGTGGCTCTGGCCACACCTGTCCTTGCTGGTATTTCAGGGCAATCCCTGCCTCTGCCATTGGCTTTGACACTTTTTTCCCAGTTGTGTTCTATCCTGTACTTTTTTCTGAATGCGGGACATGTTGTCTGCACTAGACTATGAGTCTTCTGATGATTGATTATGTCACAAATCCCCTTTTCCTCTACAAGGACCTTGTAAAGTGCTGTACATATGGCGAATATTATTAACAGAATAATCCATGGGTATAATACTTACTGTCTACAGTATTTATTTGGCCTATATTAAAATAATCTATTGATTATTAACAACTTCTTTTAAAAATTAATCCTATTGTCAAATTAGTATATATTCTATTGGACGCCAGAGGTTGACCCTACCCAACATTCTCCACAATTTTTCCCTTGTCTGCCCCTCCCTAGCTACAAGGCTAGAAAAACTAAGGTGCTCAATCCCAGCATCCCCTAAACCTGGGGAGGAGAGGGCACACATTCCAATTCTGATCAGTAAGACCGAAGACTGATTTGCCACACTGACTCTTGCCCCTTCCTCTTGCTTTCTGGCTGGAATGCAGACAGCATGGCTAGGACTGTGGTATCTTGTGGCTAATGTGACAAGCATAAAGAAAAGGCCCTAATCCTCCCAGAAATGCCATCTCCCCTGACACTGTTAAAACCCTGAACCAGAGGCCATCACACTTCTGGAGAATGATGGGGGCCCCTATGAAATGAAGCATTCAGGTCAGGAAGCCACCACACCTCTAGAGAATGATGCGGGACCCTATTAAATGAAGCACTCGGGTCAGGTTTCTGTGATTTGCGGGCAGATAAGAACATTCTTAACTGATACTTATCTACATGGCCCAAAACAGGAAAAAATCACCTGTCACTCTTGCTATGAGTAGTTTGTTGCATATGATTCAGTCTTTTAAAAAATGTAAATCACGTCTCTTTTTGATGCAGAGTCTTCCTTTGTAGTTCAGACTGGCCTTGAATTCATTATATAGTGCAGGCGGGCCTTGAACTTGCAGTGGTCCTCCATTATAGGTGTGCGCCACCATACCTGGCTAAAAATTACATTTTAATAAAAATAAAATATTTTAATTATATGGTTTTACAGACTCATTTAACATATACTGTAAATATTTTTAAATCTTTTCATTAGAAGTACCCTATATCCCATGAATCACCACTATTTTAGGTGATATACTCCAGAATTCATTTTCTTCAATCCCTTCCCATACTGTAGTTTCTAATATATCGCTTTTATAAACACCATTGTGGAAACTTCTTTATAGATTATTATGGCAATTTGAAAAAGGTAATTCATAACAATTTGATCTTAGAAATGAATTTGGTATTTGTGTGCATGACTTTAATTTTTTTTGACACTGGGGATCGAACTCGGATCCTTGCCTGCTTATGGGGCAGGCGGTGGAACCACTGAGCTAAATCCCCAGTCCTATTTTTGATATACTATGCCAAATTTTCTTCAACAAATTCTATATTATTTTTCCTGATAGCACAAATGATAAAACACAAAATACTTAACATTTGGAAAGGTCCAAGAATAACAAAAGAAAAATAAATGCTTAAAATGATATCAAGCTAGCCAGGCACGGTGGTAATACATGTCATCCCAGCACTCTGAGGCGGAGGCAGGGGGGTCACAGGTTCAAGCCTAGTGTGGACAACTTAACAACTTAACAAGACCCTATCTCAAAAAACTTCTTTAAAAAGTTCTGAGGTTGTAGGTCAGTGTGAAGGCCCGAGGTTCAATCCCCTTCTCTATAAAGATCCCATAGAACAGAGGAGATACAACCAATCTTCATTTCTTAATTATCAGACAATTAGCACTATGTGTGATTGCTTGGGCTGGTTAAATCAAGAGTGTGTCATTGCTGCCGCCCTGCTTTCTCTCTACCACCTTACTCCCAGGCTGTGGCCACCAGTCATTCCCACTCCACTTTGGACTCCTCGAGTTTGCTAATGTTGCCTGTAACTCAAATCTAATTATATT